GGGAGTCAATTCAGCTGGGCTCACTCCCCACCCCCAGCGAAACGTCGAAACAGCATCAAAACAGCCTTTCAGTTTCGACAGAACAGAACGGAACAGCTGTTTTGAATCAAAATGAAATTTAAAACAGAATGCTGTTCCATAGAACCGTCAAAACTGAAGGCGAAATGGAACGGTGCGGTTTCGCACAGCTGTAATGCTAATCTGTAGAGAAGTCTTTAATGGAGTTCCATAGTCTTAGTTCTTGAGAAGTTATCCTGCCCTATTTATAGTGCAAGAATGCTACACAGAAAGCACTAGCTAAAAATTGGCCCTGTCCATCAGATAAATACCATTTTTGTGTAAAAAGTATTCTTAAATTTCATCTGTATCTGAGAAGTGGAGCTAGCCAGTTGTAAGACAGTGGCCTCTTCCACTGGTAACATTAAACCTACAAAATTATGAAATGTATGCCTACTGTTTTCTGTTGTGCTTAGTTAAAAACATTGTGAACTGACAAGGATATTGAGTGAGGTTCAGGACTTATTAAAGTCAGAACTTCCACAGACTTCAGTTGGGCTGGGATTTCACCCATTCATTTGCAATAACTTGGATAACCTGGCTATGATAAAACCACAATTTCAGGGTTTCTGTGCTTCTGTAATATTGTCTCTCAGTGTTATGTGATGTTGAGGTTCTGAACAGTACTTGGAAGTATTGTAACACCTGTATTACAAGTTAAAAAGTTCCACTTCAGGAACTTGGAAGTATAGAAATTTCCCCCCAAGTATCTTAATATATTTTCATCCACAATACAGCAGTCATTTTAGAGATGGGAAGAGGATCATATTTATTAGTTGTCTATATCTATAAAATATTTATAAACAGTAAATATAATCCTCTTAGTGAGGAAAAACAGGCAAATGGCACAGGAGAAAGTGTGTCAACTTGTTGCTCCACAAAAATGCAAAATAAGTCATTATAAATTGGGGTTAACATGGAGCATGTTTTGAACCAGAAATATGTATCCAGTTGAGCAGGGTACACAACATTTTTTATTTTTTCCTGTTGCTTGTTAATCTGTCTTCTGTCCTTTAAAGAGTTCGTAGACTGAAAGAAGGGATGTCTACTGATTCCTGACGAAATATATACATTCTGTTTCTATGTTGTAGGTCTTATATGTCGAACAGTTGCTTGGCTGTGTACAAGCACTGATTGAATGCTGCCAGGAAGACTGTAAAGAGATTAGTTTGCAGCTTATGAAAGTTTTGGTGACAGTCATGGCAATACCTCGTTTGGAACATCTTCATGAAAAGGTGATGTCATCTGAACAATGCCATTCACAAAAATCCTTTTTTTTTTTTTTTTTTACTCTTGGTACTATGATTTGTCTCAGTGATGCTTCTGTCAGTCTCTCTGCTCTCATGCTTTAACATTTAGGTCTCTCAACTCAGAGCAGTAAAGATTAAGAATTTGAAGTGATGCAGTCACTGTGGGTGGAGAGGGAATGCCATAAGCTCTGTCTGTCTGTTTATTCTTTTCCCATAAATGAAGTCCCATTTTAAAGCACGTAGGTCCATCTTCTTAACTGGCATAAATCATAGCTCAATTAAAAATCTGGTTCATACTTGCTGATAAATTGGACCACATCACTGTTGTCTTGTCTTATAAATTTCTTCTATATTCATCCGATTGCTTTGTTATTGTAAGAGAGAAAAATGTGTGAACCAATTATTTGAGTATAGGAGTAGGAACCTTAGAATTGCTTAGTCTTAATTGCAGTTCTGATTTGGATTCCATCTTTGGTCTCGAGTAAGCCATTAAATCTCCCTGTCCCTATATACCTCTGCAGAGCTGCTGTGAAGGTTACTTAGTGCTGTGGGACCACTCTGAAGAATCGGGAGAACCATATAAAAGTATCATTATTATTCACCAGTAAACATCCGTACATCAGACAACTCTGTGGTGTTTTGTACTATTGTTACTTCTTGATTCTCTTGCAAGACAATCCTCATATCTGCTGTGCTGTTCTTCCAGGTTCCTTTTTAAAATTAAGGCCTAAGTAGTAATTATTGGAAATAATGCACTGACTCATAGAGTGCCTTTCATCCCAGTATCTCAAATTTGTTTCTCAAATATTAGCTAAAGCTTTACATTAGCCTTGTAAGGAAGATGTTACAAAGCCAGTATTATACTTTTTAAAGATCAAATACTTATTTTAGAGAGTGAAAGTTAATGAGTCTGAATCTTATATAAGATTGAAAATCTTTTAATTTTAGATGTCATAAATCAAGCATCCGCAAGCTAGAAACATCACCTCATGTGCTCTTTTCTTTTGAAATTACTGTCATCTAACTTTCAAAAGACATAAAAAATAGCCTCTCTGATTTTCTCTTCTCATATAAAACCTTCTCAAAGGTGTAAAGTCCCTAGGAACAAATTTTTCCCAACTTTGTTCATCTAAAAGCCAACATTTCTCTGTAATATGCTTTAGACAAGTCAGCTCATCGCATTTTGTTAGCTGATCCAGAGCTTCACATTCAGATAATGTTGTATTGTGTGCAGCTAAAGAAAATTGGAACAGCTTGATTGACCCATTGTTTTTTCTGCTGGGCTAAAAAAGAATTTCAGGCAATCTGACCTGATTCTTTCTGCAATACTGGTTCTGTATAAAGTCCTACTAATTTATATAAACAAGTAGTGAGGAAATTGTTGTGTTTTCACCCTTGCAAAGGAAAAAGAATTGAGTGAAGGAAGATTTGCCTATACCAGTTGGTCACGATAGCCTATCATCTTCATACCCTCCCACAAGACAATAGCTACAGACTCTTTATCTGTACAGAACATGGGACTAGTCCAGAGAGCCCTTACACAAGCTACTTCTATTTTTCAGCATCAGGGATTCTGTTTTGACACAGGGAGCAGGAATCTTTCTTGAAAGTTGCTCTCCTTAGGTAAATCAATTTATCTTAAAGAAATTACAAAACTCAAATGTAGGAGTTGGGATAAAGGGCTCCTCCAAAGGGAAAAAGAAAATCCTGAGGCGGACCTCAGATCTAAGTTCGAAGATGCACCTCCCTAGACCGGGGAGTGTGATCCAGTGTGTGCATCCTGTGTTGCCCCCAGAACGGATACTTTTCTCACACCCTTCAAAGGACAAGCTAAACAGATAAGTGCTGGCTCAGTCTTATGCCTGCCTATCTGATCCTCCAGCCCCTTTGCAAAGAGGTGAACACACTACAGCTGTTTGCAGACATTAAAAAAATAAAGCAGAGAGGGGCTTTTCTTTAGCATTTGCTTTAGAACTCAGCATGTTCCCGCGCTGAACCAGTGCATACCCAGAAAAGGCATCGCATTAGTTGGACCATTAACCCAACATCTGTGCCTTAGCAGGGCTTTTTTGGCACTTTTACCTAATAGCTGATTGAATTAGCTTTAGATAAAAGCACCAAAACCCCCCGCTGGAGCACCCGATCTATATAGACTCTATGGAGCTGGGTTGAAGTAACACACCGCTCCTTCTGGTAAAGCTTGGTTTGGTTTGGTATCTGCAAGCAGCGTATAATATATAAATTAGCTTTTGAAATTGGGTGCCACTCAATGCACAAAAGTTATAGAAGGAGGGTGCCTTGAGAGTCCAGTGAGGGTTTGCCTCAAATCCAAAAAGGTTGAGAACAACTGCCTTAGGTATTGATTAGAAAAGAAAGACATTTCATAGAGAACCATCCCTGTAAAGGCTGAAAGCAGGTTGTTCACAGATAGTTTAAGGCAGACAGTATTACTAAGTGGCCATATTTAATCATGCAGTTTTCTGAGACTGGTCCCAAATTCTTTTCTGTGGACTAGATGAACTACTAGCCCCTGCAAAGTGGCAATTTCCAAAAGGATTCTTATGTTCTTAGGCAAACATTGCAGTGCTTTTACACTAGTTGACCTTTTCACCTCTCATCAGAATCAAACGTTTAAATGATGCTGGTCATTCTTTAAAATCAGGAGCAACATCTGTAGATACCATGATAATAGTTGGGCCTTTTGTCTAACCATTATCTTACCTCCTTAATTCTCTCTTCCCTCCTCTACCCCAGACTAAATATCAGATACATCAGCAGGCCATCTTTATGCAGTATAACTCCTTGGTGGCCAACCCAAGCCTGCTTTTCAACTGGCTTCTTGAATTTGATAACTCTTCTACTTCCTCTTCTATTGCTTCAAGGCATGATAATCCAGAGGCCTGTTTTTACTAGTATTTATGGCCTCTCACTTGCTGGCTGTCACCAAAGAGGCATACTCTTTGAAAAGTATTCAGAAAGAGGGGAAATGAAACAGAGCTTAGACAAGTGTAACAGGTTGCAAGGAGTTTTTCTTGAGCTGAAAGCCTTGTTTTGTGAAGAACTTGTGGGAGACCTTTATAGCCTTGTACTGAATGAGTAAGTTCTCAACCTAAACTACCCATGTTACTCATGCTTGCTTCTTTGGCTACAGAATGGATTATAATGAGGGCAAAACCCAGTTTCAAAACCTTTCAAATCCACAGTACTAGACAAAGGAATTTACTGAAGGTGAATCTGGGTTCTTAAATAAGACAAAATCTCTACAAGAATATTACATGTTTTGGATGTTCCTGCATTTAAGGATTATTTTTACAGTTGACATTACTTTGGATGAAAATCTATGTTCTCATTAGCTTTTCTTGCAGCAAGTTAAATAGGGAATCTGGCAATGAGATTATATAGTTCCAGTCTTTCAAATCTGTCACTAAGACAAATAAAGCCTGCTTTTTCAGTTCCAGAGTTTCCTAACTCCCAACAATTTCAAAGTAATTTGAAGCCCTCAATACTTCTGAAAACCAGGCTAGTGATACTTTACATTCATATCAAGAATTTATTCCTGATATCCATGCGGTTTGCATATCTGCAAGTGTCCTTTCTTTAGCTTTAATCTGCTTCACATTTACAAGGAGAAGCACTGCTTATGCTTTGTGAATTAACTAAGAATGTTAATATATTTTTCTTTCTTTCTTTGGAAACTTCACTTAAGTATGTTTTAGTTCATCTACTGATTTGTATCCAAGGTGCTATACGATCCATATAACTTCCAAAATCAAAACATTCTAATTAAATTAGTTTTAAATCTATAGAAAACAATTTACATTTAGTTTTGTAAGTGGAAGTTTGATAGTTTGATCCTGAATTAACAACTCGTCTCAAAACTTCTTGAATATATACACAAATTACCTAAATGTTGTATTACTAGATCCATGTTCAGACAATTAAGTAAGGGCACAAGTCATAGAGATTAGGGGTACATCAATAAAGATTTTTTGGTCCGATGCCAATGGCCGATTATTGACCAGCATTATCAGTCAATACTGATCCGATTGCTGATATGTAGCCTGGCACCTTGGAGAGCAGCATCTGGCCAGTAAGTCCATTGTGGAAAGGGGCGTGGGGGAGGCGGATCAAGGCCCCATGGTGAGGGAGGGAGGGGCTGGGGCAGGAGGTGCCCAGCCTAGGTAGGACAGGGTACAGGATGGAGTGGGGAGGAGCAGGGTGGCTCCAGCCACTGCATGTATCCCTGGGGAAGCAGATCTGTGTGCAGGGCAAGGGTGGGCTCCCTCTGTACAGTCAGGGCTGGGGACTGTGCCAGGCTCTTCCTGGCAGCTGCGCTCAGGCAGGCAGTGATAGCCCTGGGAGTGGGGGGCTATGGTGAATTTTGGGGTAGCTATTGCTCCCCTCCCCCATAACTTCCCTCCTAGTGCTACTGCCGCTGCCTTGCCTGGCCCCTGCCTGGCCTTAAGCACAGCTGCCAGGGAGAGCCTGGAGTAGTTCCTGAGCCTGAAGCAGTGGCCCACCCTTGCCCTGCGTGTAAATCCAGGGGGCACATGCCCCCCTATGCTTCCACAGAGGTGCATGCAGCGGCTGGAGCCACTCCCTGCCCCCCCAGATGAGGCGCCAGCTCCATC